TGGAATTAAAGGTGTGTCTGTATTTCAGCTGGATCATACAGACCTAGAAGGTCTTTGGATGTGATCTCTTGCCAAAACAGCCATGTTCTGAATTAAAATTCTGCTACATCAGGGCTCACCTGTGTGGCAGCTGACAGGATTTCCTTTTCTCTTTCTTCTAAGTCTGAATAATAGTTCATGGATGTACAAACCATATTTTGCTTATTCATTCGTGGGCTGGTCTCAGACTCCAGGTAGTCCTCCTGTCTCAGCCCCCCTGCGTGCTGAGATTTCAGGACTGCACCTGGTTCAGTTTCTTGCTATTTTACACTTCATCTTCATGGAAAGAGTGAGAAATGATCTCTCCTGGTTGGAGCCTAGGCTGGTGGCGCCTAGACTGGCCTTGAATTCCATATGTAGTGAGGGATGACCTTGAATTTCTGATCCTGCAAGCCCAGTCTGTGCAGTGCTGAAGACTGAACTCTGGGTCTTGTCCATGCTAGGCAAGTACTCTGCCAGCTGAGTTCCAGTCCCAACCCCACTCTCCTGATTTATTTTATTTTGAATTAGGTGTATATGCAGGGGGTACTGAGCACATATTAATCCTTACAGGAGGTTGTAAGCTGCCTGACATGGGTGCTGGGAACCAACTCAAATTCTATGGAAGGAGAGTATGTATTCTTACCCTCTGAGCCATCTGCCCAGCACCTCAAATTAAAATATGTGTATGAATGTTTTACCTGCATGTATGTTTATATGTGTACCGTGACCATGTATGTGTGGTCCCCAAGGATATCAGAAGAGGGCATCAGATCCCCTGGAACCAGAGTTACAGACAGCTGTAAGCCATCGCGTGGGTGTGTAGTGAGAATTTTGGTTTCTTTCAAAACACAGAAATGTGGGTCCAAGAGATGGTCCAGTGGTTAGGAGCACTGCCTGTTCTTCCAGATGGACCTGGGTTCAATTCCCAGGACCCACATGACAGCTCACATCTCTCTGTAACTCCATCAGGCAAAACACCAATGAACATAAAATAAAAATAAATTATAAAAAAAACAACAACACAGAAATGTTATGTGAATATGTTTTTGCTTCAGTCCCAGGTGTGAGATACGGTGCTGCTTCACAGCAGCTAACAATGATTTGTCTGGAGCTCTGGCAGGGTCATGTTTTTTGACAGCTGCAGATAGTTATGTTTGGAATTCTGGGGACTCTTCAGAGGATATATAAATGCCAGAGCCCCAGAACCTCTGGGGCTGCTGTTTCCCCTGCTGCTGCTCCTTGCTGGATTGCTGGTTGGAGTTACCCTGATGAGGAAGATCAAACTTGTTCCAAGGAACTCCATGCGCCTAATTAGCAGGAAGTAGTCTAACAATATTGACACACTCTTTCCCATCCTAACCTTCTTTCTCTCCTACCTAGTGTAGGGAGGTAGAAAAAAACAACCCAATAAAGTAACTGAAAGTCTGGCTACATGGGTGGGAATCAAACCTGGGCCCCCTCAAAAATAACAGCAACCCGGCCGTCTTTCTATCCTGTCTCTTGATTTCTTTTTTTTTTAAACATTAGTCACCATGCTGGGTGTGGTGGTGCACACCTTTAGTCCCAGCTCTTCTTGGAGGCAGAGACAGGCGGATCTCTGTGAGTGTGAGGCCAGCCTAGTTTACAGTACATCCAGAGCTCTGTTACACAGAGAAACAAACAAAAGAAAACAAAACAACAAAAACTATTAGTCACCAATGGATATTTTACAAATGCTCCTACCTGAACGAGGTCGGTGGTATTAATGCTGGTAGTCCCCAGTACGCAGGAGACAAGGGCATCAAAGCTTTTCCATTTGAGGCTATCCTGGGCATAGAGTTAAAGGCCAACCTGAGCTACATGGTAAGACCCGGCCACTCCACCCCAAAACCAACACCCCAACAGAACAACAATGACAACAAAAATCCACTATCCAGATGAGGGTAGAGGGCTTGCTTGATAACCTGTGTGGGCTGTGAGTTCCAACCCTCAGCATCCAGTAAGGGGGAAAAAGACTTTTTAGAACAGGGGTTGTCTTAATTAGTGTTCTATTGCTGTGAAGAGAAACCATGACCAATGAAACTCTTTAGGAGAGCATTTAACCGGGGGCTTGCTTATGGCCTTCAGGGGTTTAGTCCATGATCGTCGTCGTGGTGTTTCTCCCTGTTATCTGCTCCTTCCTCCCTGTGTGGTTTCCTAACGTCAGAGTGTCCAGGATGCTTAGTTAGCACCGGGTTGCCATGTGAATAAATTGGTCCTGGCTCTCTAATTCTGTGCACAAACACAGGTACGTCAGGCTGTGATCTGGACTTTGACCACCCCTCCCCCAGCTGAGGGCATGTGCCACCCATATCCCTGTTGGTGAAGGGCTGTGTTTTTCAGCTGATGGAGTTGAGACCCTAAAAACTGGTTTACGAAGTAGGCGTAAATTTTTACCAAAAAAAAAAAATCTGACAAGCTTTTCTTTTTGTTTTTAAATTAACTCTCCATAGAAGCTTCTAGAAGCTAAGCAAATTCTGTCCAGCAGACTGTCTCAGGCCCTTCCCACTTAAGCTTGAGACTAAAGTTAAATTCTATAGCTTGGGTTGAAGATCCCCATGGGTCTTGGGTATGTTAATAAAGCCAGCCATGTCTGCCTTGGGAGCAGGCTAATTTATGTCTGCTTTTGGCATCTGGCGCATGAGGACAAGGCACACTGATCCAGGGAGTGGATTCTGTCTTGCCTCTGACACTAACCACACTGCCTAGCTCTTAAGGTTCTGTGTGCGTGTGTGTGTGTGTGTGTGTGTGTGTGTGTGTGTGTGTCCTGTCTCTCCCTCATACAAACTCATTTTCGTGGTCTTTGGGAAGTGATCTGATTTGCTCACTTTGAACGAGGTTTACAGTCAAGGGTGCTGTGAGTCGAATGGCTGAGCTTCGTGGCAATAACATGTTTAAGGTCCATTCGTTAGGCTTCCCCGCCCCTTCCTTCTGGATAAGCCAGGTATCACAGTCTAGTCTTACCTCGAGGTAAGTTTTACTTCCTCCTCCTGAGTGCTGGCTTTGCTGGCACTTGCCACCACCTGCCGTTTATGGAATGTTGGGGATTGAGGCCAAGGCTTCATGAGTGCCAAAAAGCATTTCATCAGCTGAGTTTACCCTAAGCCAGCTTGTTGAGGTTCTTTAAAGATCCTTTTAAGGAGCTGGAGAGACCCGCAGCAGTTAGGAGCACTTCCTGCTCCTACGGAGGGCCTGGGTTTCATTCCCAGCATTCCTGTAGCAACCAACAAACATCTGCAACTCCAGGTCCAGGTCAGATCTGTAGTGTCTGACCTCAGATACTACATGTTTGGGGTGCACATACATACATGCAGGCAAAGCACTCTATACATAACAAATACGTTACAAAATTTAACATACAGGAAGGCAGAACACTTATATACACAAACAAATAAATGTTAAAACATTTAAAATTTGTGTGTGTGTGTGTGTGTTTGAGAGAGAGAAAAACTTGAACAAGCTGGTTCTCTCCTTGCACTATGTGTGTCCTGGAGATCAAACTCAGGCTGTCAGTCTGGGTGGCAAGCTCCTTTACCCATGAGCCATCTTGCCTGCCCTTGTTGGGGTTTTGATACTTTTCTAGAATGACTGACTCCCCAGAGCCTGCTTGGCTGAGTTCCCTTCTCAGGTGCCATAAGCCCTGTTCCCAGTGAGGAAGGTACAAGTCCTCCGGGCCTTGCTGTGTCCTTGGGACCTGGGGCAGTAAGCTGCTCATCTCCCCGAGTAAGCCTCAGTTTCCTCGTGTTTAAAATGGAAGCAGTGAGAGGCTGGAGAGATGGTTCAGCTGTTAGAGCACTGGCTGCTCTTCCAGAAGATCCAAGTTCAGTTCCCAGCACTCACGTGCAGCTCACAACTGTAACTCCAGTTCCAGGGGATCTGACACCTTCACACAGATACAACATTGAGGCAAAATACCAATGTACATAAAATTAAATTAAAAAAATAATTAAGAAAAACTATTATAAAAAATAAAATGGGAGCAATGAGCTAGGTATTATAGCCCCTGTAATCTTAGTATTTTGGAAGCCAAGGCAGGAGGATTAAGAGTTTGAGGCTAGGGGCTGGAGAGATGGCTCAGAGGTTAGGAGCACTGTCCTGAGTTCAATTCCCAGCAACCACAGGGTGGCTCACCACCATCTACAGTGAGATCTGGTGCCCTCTTCTGGCATGCAGGTGTACGTGCAGACAGGATATTGTATACATAATAAATAAATAAATCTTAAAAAAAAAAAAAGTTTGAGGCTAGCCTGGCAGCACAGTAAGAGAACAGATTGGGCTACATATGTAGATGCCATAAACAAACAAGAAACCTAGTGAGGTAGTACAGGCAGGTAATCCCAGACCTGGGAGGTAGAGGCAGGAAGACATTCAAGGCTATCCTTGGCTATACAGAGAGTTCAAGTACCTGGGCTACATGTGACCCTGTCTCCAAAACAAAACAACAAAACCAAACAAGATGGCCCCGGAGACACTTCCCTTGGGTGTGTTTTGCTCTCAGATGGTGCCTGGATTGTTGTCAGCCGCTTGTGCTCCCACTGTGGATCTGCACATTTCTCCCAGGTGGCAGGCAACAGTCAGACTTAGTGACTGTGAGAGGACTGAAGGACACAGGACTGCGGGGGCTGGGGGGAGTGATGAGCTGAAGTGGAAGCCTGAGGATTTGCGGGCAGGGACCCTGGGCAGTCAGGAAACGTGACTTCATGCTGGACTGTGGTTCTCCCCTGGCCTCTTCAGCTTCTGAGGGGAGAGGATCTGATTGGCCAGGCTGGCCTCAGCCCCTTCAGCAGGGTGGGATGCAGCAGCTCTATATGGCTGTCCTCCGTGGGGAAAGCGGGAGCTGGAGCGGCTGCGGGGCCATCGCAGCCCTGGCTGTTTAATGAAGTGTTGAACTGGCTGGGAGGACGACTCCCTGCTGCTGACCCCGGCCAGGGATGTGACGTGCCGTGTGTGCCCAATTCTAGATGCTGACAAGAGGATCAAGGTGGAGAAGCCCGTGGTGGAGATGGACGGCGATGAGATGACCCGCATCATTTGGCAGTTCATCAAGGAGAAGGTAGCGCCCCTTCTTCAGTGGGCCGTGGGTAGATGGTCAGTCCCACCAGGTGCCGGGTCCCCACGAGTCCTGTTTTTCACTTTCTGCCCCACCTTCCTCAAGTAACCACGTTAACAGATGTTTTTTGTCAGCCAGTTCTGTCCCAAGCAGTCTGCGCCTCTCACTGGTGCTGAAGTGTGCAAGATTTTCAAATCTTGTTTCTTCTTCTTTTAAAAGCGTTTTATTACATACATATGTTCGTGTGCCACGGTGCACAGGTGGAGGTCAGAGGACTTGTCAGTTCTCTCCTACCGTGTGAGACCCAGGGACTAGACACAAATTGTCAGGCTTGGCAGTGAGGGCCTTCACCCGGCGAGTGAGCTCGTCTGTTCCACATCTCTGTTTTTTGTTTTTTAAGAGAAAAGGACAAAGAAAAAAAAAAGCCAGGCTGTTGGCGGCACACACCTTTAATCCCAGCACTCAGGAAACAGGCAGGCGGATCTCTGGGTGACTGGGAAGAGGTGTCTGCTGTCCTGAGTTTGCTGCGGCGGTCTCTCCCTGGGCTGGAGCTTGTGTTTTCTCTGGCTGGCTGGAAGTCAGCAGGATTAAAAAAGTTAGTTTAGATTTATTGATTTCATGTATGTGAACATTTTGTCTGTGTGCATGGGTCCGTACCACATGTGTGCCTGGTGCCTTCATGGGTCAGAAGAAGGTGTCGGATTCCCTGGAGTGGGAGCTGTCATGTGGGTGCTGGGATCTGAACCTCGGTCTTCTGCAGGAGGAATAAGTGCTTGTAACCCCTGAGCCATCCGTCCAGTCCCCTTTCCTTTTTTAAAGTTAATTACTATTTTTTTAAAAGCTGAAGTCTCACTCTGGAGCCCAGGCTGTCTTCAAACTCACAGTGACCCCCTGCTTCAGTCTTCTGAATGCAGGAATTACTCGGTCATGTGCTACCATACTGGCTGTGAGACAGGGCTCTCTCCCTCTTCCCTGAGACAGGGTTTCTCTGTGTAGCCTTGGCTGCCCTGGAACTAGCTCTATAGACCAGGCTGGCCTCCAACTCACATTATCCGCCTGCCTCTGCCTCCCAAATGCTGGGATTAAAGGCGTGTGCCACCACCTTCCAGCTTTGTTTGTTTGTTTGTTTTTTAATATTTTAGCAGGGCTGGAGAGATGGCACTTATTTTTTCTTACAGAAGACCCAGGTTCGATTCCCGGCACCAACACGGCAGCTCCCAACTGTCCAATACCCTCCTCTGTCTTCACAGACACCAGGCATGCCTATGCACAGACGCATACATGCAAGCAAAACAGACAGACATGCTCTGGACATGGTGGCTCGCCTTTAATCCTGGTACTCAGGAGGCGGAAGCAGGCAGGTCTCTGAGTTCCAGGATAGCGGGGACCATGTAGTGAGACCCTGTCCTAACAGCAGCAGCAGCAACAACACAACAATAAAGACTTATTTTTAATGTGTGTGCCTGTGTGGAGGTGTGTGGGTATGCATGAGTGCCGGTTCCTGCATCGACCAGAGGTGGCAGAATTCCCTGGGGCTGGAGTTACAGGTGGGCCCTCTGCAGGAGCAGGATGCACTCTTAACTGCCTAGCCATCTCTCCAGTCAGAGACAGGGTCTTAACTGTGTAGCCCAGGCTGGTTTGCCTCAGCCGCCCAAGTGCTGGAATTACCATGTCTGGGCCGTGGTGGCGCACACCTTTGATTCCAGCGCCGGGGAGGCAGAGGCAGGTGGATTGATGTGAGTTTGGGGCCAGCCTGGTCTACAGAGTGAGTTCCAGAACTGCCAAGGCTACACAGAGAAACTCTGTCTCAAAGAACAAAGACAAACAAACAAACAAAAAGATCACAGAGCGCTTGAGGAGAAGGGGACCCCACTGTGTAGACGGGGGATTTAACGGACTCCATGAGTCCCTGGTGTGGCAGGAGGTGCTCACACCAGCTTCCTTCTGAGGAGTGAAGCCTGGCTTGCCTCTCAGAGTCCCAGCTTCCTGCGTCTCTGCCTCTGCTGAGGAATGGCTCACCTTAGCTCTCTCCCCGGCCCTACCCCCACTAGGTTTCCCTCCTCCTTTGCCTAACCAGCTGATTTCTCATGCCTTGGCATCCTGGCCAAATCAGTCGTCCGGCTTGACACTTCTCTCGGGCTTTCTCCTTCCTAGCTCATCCTGCCTCACGTGGATGTCCAGCTCAAATATTTTGACCTCGGGCTCCCAAACCGTGACCAGACCAATGACCAGGTCACCATTGACTCTGCACTGGCCACCCAGAAGTACAGCGTGGCTGTCAAGTGCGCCACAATCACCCCTGACGAAGCCAGGGTGGAAGGTATGAGGGCGGTGGGGTCACAGAGGCTGGGAGGCTCACGGGCCGTCACACTTAGATGGAGGCAGTTGGCTGCGTCACTCATTATGAGACCGGGAGATGGGTGGGCGCTCCAGGGCTGAGCCTCCCTGGGGCTGGTGATGAGGACTGTGAGTCAGCCCAGTCATGCTGGGGAAAAGCCGTCGATGTTGCTGTGATGCCGCTGGCGGAGGTGTGATTAGGGACCAGCCTCCTGGGCAGCTCTCCTGGAGACCAGGAGAAGCGGAATCTCTGCTATGTTGTATGGCTTGCTCCAGGGAGGGAGACAGACCCGGAGCTCTTTAACAGCCTCCCTTCTGATGGCCTGGGTGGCAGGCTGGTACACAGAAGCTGTGCAGCCTGGGGGAGGGTGCAGGCCATGGTGCTGCGGGGCTGGCGAAAGGCTAAACTTGCCTTCCCTGGAACTGGCGGCATCTTCTGAGGACTCCCTGTCTCTTGCCATGTGGCTGCTTGATTACCCTCACCGCACACAGCATGGCCTTTTCTCCTCCCCTCTCCATTTCCTTTCTCCTGGCAGCCACTGAGATTTACAGCTCGCCTCTCTTGTTTTTTTGTTTTTTTCTCTTAAGCTCTAATAAAATTGTCCTCAGGCTTCAACAACAACAACAAAAGATGGTTTTGGACTTTTCTTCCCTAATCTCTGCAGTATGAGGAAGCTAGGAACGAGCCTTCCAGATAGTCTCCAAAGCTGAGAGGGTAGCTCAGGGATGGAGCCCTTGTCTACCATGCATAAGGCCTTGGGTATTCAATCCCGGCCCTGCAAAACAACAACAAAGGAAAACCCAGACCACCCGCCTATAGCACACTGAGCTCTTTTATAGTCCTGAGCTCTTTTCCTTGATGTTCCTGGAATTAAACAAGAACAACACAACACTGCTATGAAAGCACTGACAGAAAAACTTGGATCCTGTGTGTGCTAGGCAAGCACTGTGCCACCGACCAATGCCTCCAGCCCAGTGCAGGGTCTGTAGCTCATTCTTTCATGGACGAGGTCTTAGTGTCTTGGGCAGGATGGGCTGGAGGGAAGCTGCCCTTTCCCTTCGCTGAGCAACCTCCCTGCGGACCTGAGTCAGACAACTTATTTAATGACAACCCGGCATGGTTGGGATTTCATGAGTGGTTTCATTTCTCAGCTCAGGCTGAGGCTCGTTTTGTAAGCCTCCCAGTCAAAACTGGAAGATTCCAGAGGTCTCGTACTTAAAGTCTTACGACAGCCTTCCTACTGCTGCGGCCCATTAACACAGTTTCTCATGCTGTGATGACCCCCAACCATAAAATTATTTTCGTTGTTACCTCACGCTGTAGGTTTGCTACTGTTAATGAATCATGCTGCAAGTATCTGTTTTCAGATGGTGTAAGGGTTGTCTGACCTCCAGGTTGAGAGCGTCTGCTCTGGAGTCTAGCTTCTTGTGCCTCCTCCAGGATGGTGGGTGGGCCCCCTGTCTAGCTCTGTTTTGGCTTGGGTGCATTCTGGTTGAAGAGGTGGAGCTGTGGTGGGTCTGTCTTCTCCCTGTCCTCACAGAGTTCAAGCTGAAGAAGATGTGGAAGAGCCCTAACGGAACCATCCGGAACATCCTTGGGGGAACCGTCTTCAGAGAGCCAATCATCTGCAAAAACATCCCTCGCCTCGTCCCTGGCTGGACCAAGCCCATCACTATTGGCAGACATGCCCACGGTGACCAGGTAGGCCGGGCGTGGAGACACAGTCTGTTGACTCATGCGCCCCCTCGGGGAAGCGCTGGCCCGAACTGCCTCTCCTCTTGGCAGTACAAGGCCACAGACTTCGTGGTAGATCGAACTGGCACGTTCAAGATTGTCTTCACGCCGAAGGACGGCAGCGGCGGCAAGGAATGGGAGGTGTTCAACTTCCCCGCCGGCGGCGTGGGCATGGGGATGTACAACACGGATGAGGTAAGGCCCGGGCCGCCCTCCTCCCCTGCCCGTCTCCACCTCCGCCCACTTGGTAGCTTTCTTTGCTTCTGTTGGCCTCGTTGTCACGCCAGGGAGAGACCAGCTGGTCAGAAAAGGGCGCCTCCTTGGTTGGCCGTGGTTGGATCACTTGACCGCCTTCGAGCCAATCGCTGATGGCCATGGAAAAAGGGCTCTGATTGGATAAGTCAGGGACACGAGATCCAGCTTAACTAGGCCTGCACCAAGCGTGAGGTCTGGGAGTTGTGAGGCAGAGAGAACTGTCCAAAGTGAAGTTGGCGCGGGGTCTGAGCTCCCAGAAGTCTGGGGGAGAAGATGAGTCAGCCAGAACAACAGGGGCTCGCTCCCTGGCAGCAGGGGTTGAGGAGTCTTACGGAGGTGAGGCTGGCCCTGGCCCCGTGGGCGGACTGGCAGTCCTCAGGCCGGGGGCCGTGGCGTGCCCGCTCTCCCCACAGTCCATCTCGGGCTTCGCGCACAGCTGTTTCCAGTACGCTCTCCAGAAGAAGTGGCCTCTGTACTTGAGCACCAAGAACACCATCCTGAAGGCCTACGACGGGCGTTTCAAGGACATCTTCCAGGAGATCTTTGACAAGTAACAGGCTCTGCCGTTTGCCGAGGGCGCCGCAGCCCGCCCGCCAGCTCCATCCCTGCCTCAGCCGGGGAGGTCGCTCTCCGGGCGTGCTTGGTTCAGCTTTGAGGTTCAGGGAGGGGTCCCTAACCAGCCGGCCTCCTGCCCTCTCCTTGAGACAAGCCCCTTCGCCTCCCCCCCTCCCCCAGGCACTATAAGACTGACTTTGATAAGAACAAGATCTGGTACGAGCACCGGCTCATCGACGACATGGTGGCGCAGGTGCTCAAGTCCTCGGGCGGCTTTGTGTGGGCCTGCAAGAACTACGATGGGGACGTGCAGTCTGACATCCTGGCCCAAGGTACGCTGGACCGGGCCTCCCCATCCCCCCAGGGTTTCTCTGCAGAGCCCCGGCCGTCCTGGAACCCGCCCTGTAGACCAGTGCTTGCACTCAGAGATCCGCCTGCCTCTGCTCCCGAGTGCTGGGCTTAAAGGCGCGCGCCCATTTATTTATTGTATTCATAGGAACGCCACGTACACCAGCACACCAGAAGAGGGCATCAGATCCCAGGAGAGATGATTGTGAGCCACTGTGTGGGTGCTGGGAGTTGAACTCGGGACCTCCGGAAGAGCAGACAGTGCTCTTAACCGCTGAGCCATCTCTCTAGCCCCAATTTTTTTTTTTTTTAAGATTTCATTTATTTATTTATTTAATGCATTTATATTAGTGCTTTATCTGCATGTGCACCTGCATGCTAGAAGAGAGCAGTTAAGGGTATAGATGGTTATAAGCCACCATGTGGTTGCTGGGAATTGAACTCAGGACCTCTGGAAGAGCAGACAGTGCTCTTAACCATTGAGCCATCTCTCCAGCCCCCCAATTTTTTGTTTTTAATTAAAAGATTTCAATATGATTGTAAGCACAACTGTTAAGGAGAGGCTCTGGAGAAGAAAGTAAGATACACCCAAAAACACAGGCATGGACTCCTCAAAGAGTCATAGGAGGGTGTGTGTGTGTGTGTGTGTGTGTGTGTGTGTGTGTGTTTTCCCCTGTGGTGGCCAGAATTGATATTAGGTGCCTTCTATTGTGCTCTCCATTATTATTTTTAATATATATTTTTAAAAATTACATTTGCCAGGCATGGTGGCACGTGTCTTTAATCCCAGCACTCGGGAGGCAGAGGCAGGCAGATCTTCGTGAGTTCGAGACCAGCCTGGTCTACAGAGTGAGTCCAGGACAGCCAGGACTACACAAAGAAACCCTGTCTCAAAAACCCAAAAGGAAAACAAAAAACACAAAAAACCCTTCCCCCCCATTTATAAGGCCAGACAGCAGCATTATAACCAGAGGCGGCAGATCTGTGAGTTTAAGTACATACTGAGTTTTAGGACAGCCAGAGCTACATAAAAAAATTTTATGTATCTATAATTTATTTATCTATCTAGCAGTACTGGAGATTATACACAGGACCTCACGAGAGCCAGGCAAGTGCACTACTACTGAACTGTAGCCAGGGGCCTTTATTTATTTACAGTGGAGGTCAGAGGGCACCATGTAGGACTTGTTTCTCTCTACCATGTGGGTCATAGAGACTGAACTCAGGTTGTCAGCCTTGGTGGCAAGAACTTTTTCAGCCAAGCTGTCTTGTCTTCCCCCTGCCTTATTTTTTGAGACAGGCCAGACTAAGTGGCCGGTGAGTCCAGGGGTGCTGCCTGTCTCTGTCCCTGTGCCTGGTGTGTTTGAAGGCCGTTTTAATAGAGAAAAGGGTGCAGGATTATCAGGCAGCATGGGAGCCTCACACTTGTAATCTCAGCCCTCAGGAGGCTGTGAATTCAAGGCCAGCTTGGGTTGTATAGTGAGTTCCAGGCCAAACAAAAATAAAACAGAAAAAGGACCGTGGAGATGGCTCAGTGGGTGAAGGCACTTGCCGCCGTCAAGCTGACAGCTTGATCTCTGGAACTTACATGCTAGAGAAAACAGATCCTTGCAATCTGTCCTCTGACCTTTACACACACACTGGCACATCTGCACCGTCCCCTACACAAAATAAAAACAAATATATGTAAAACAAAAACAAAACCAGGAAACAAAACTGAGCTGAATCTTTTTCTTATGTAAGTTCCCTACATTTTTTTTTTTTCTTTAGGCCTTCACATTTCTTGTAGGTCTTGGGGGAGTGTTTTCATTCCCCAGCGTCCTTGACAACAGTCATTCCAGTTGAAATCTGGATTTGGGGACATCTGGAAATAAATCACAAAGTTTGAGAGTGATCTAACAGCAGCGGAAACAGTGGTGTTTGCAGAATAGTGATGGCAGCTTATTTCTGCTTGAAATGGTGTTCTGGGAGGCTGCAGGACTGACTACCTCAGGCTATGGGGTCTGGAAAGGGCGCACACAGACAATCGCTAGCAACCTGGAGATAGCCACCCGTGTGGGCGTCACTGTCCCGAGCTGCTGGGGTGGGGTCAGAAGATGAGAAGGCTTCCTGCCTAAGATGAAGGGTTCTGAGCGGAAGCCCTGAGGGGAGATCTGCCTACCCCCCAGGCTTTGGCTCCCTTGGCCTGATGACGTCTGTGCTGGTCTGCCCTGACGGAAAGACAATCGAGGCCGAGGCTGCTCACGGGACAGTCACGCGCCATTACCGAGAGCACCAGAAGGTAAATGTGTTTGCCTGAAGGTCGGAAGCCCTTAAGGTGGGAGGATGAGCCGAATCTGTCGGTCTGGAGGTGGCCATCTTTATCTGGGGCTCAGCTGTTGATCTTGTGGCCTGTTCTCAGGGCCGGCCCACCAGTACCAACCCTATCGCCAGCATCTTTGCCTGGACGCGGGGTCTAGAGCACCGAGGGAAGCTGGATGGGAACCAGGACCTCATCCGGTGAGTTCACGGGGAGGGGTTAAGCTGGTGCAGCCTTCGGCTCTGGCCAGCATGCCAGGGCCTCACTCTGCAGCATCCCCCTCACCCCGCAGGTTTGCACAGACTCTGGAGAAGGTGTGCGTTGAGACTGTGGAGGGTGGAGCTATGACCAAGGACCTGGCCGGCTGCATCCATGGCCTCAGCAAGTGTGTGCTTTGGGAAACAGGGCCTGAGACCTCAGCAGGTGGGAGGAAGGCAGGGGACCCCACGTAGAGACCCTCTCATGAAACAGCATAGCTGCCTGGGGCTCCGGCAGGACAAGTCCTGAGAAATGGCTCAGGCCAAGCCTCCTAGACCAGGCCTGAGTTGGTCCCCATTGGGAGTTGCTCAGTTTCTCTGATCTCTTCTTCAAACTTCGCCTACGAGGCCTATGTCCAGTGGCTTGTCACTCTGTGGTGACTTCTGGCCCTTCAGCAGTGGGCTAATGGCAAAGTTGGACCTGGGTGTGGTGGCGTGAGAAGGCCATTCTTGGTGCCTGAGGTCTGGTGTGCCTGGGAAGGGCTTGGTTGTTGAGTCGCCCCTGATGTTCTCTTGGCAGTGTGAAGCTGAATGAGCACTTCCTGAACACCACAGACTTCCTGGACACCATTAAGAGCAACCTGGACAGAGCTCTGGGCAAGCAGTAGGGGCGGACGGCACCCAGCAAACAGCGGTGCTCTGTACATGGTAGAGGGTGGCCCTCTCGGACCCTCTCTCTGGTGGCCTTTCTAGGGGACATTTTTTTATGATGGAGATTTTTTTTTTTTTTAAAGTATGTGAGTGTTCTCCCTCATGGTGGATGTGAGGCAGAAACGGTGAGCTTACCTCAGCCAGTCAGTGTGTTTTGCATACTGTAATTTATATTGCTCTGAATCACATGGTGCCATATTTAGCTACTAAAAAAGCTCTTCGCAAAAAAAAAAAACAAAAAAAAAAACGGTCTTGCTGTGTTTGTCCCTGAGTGGGAGGAAGCAGCTGGCAGGATGCCCCAGGGACAGGGTTGGGGTGTCTCAGGCTGTTAATAGGTCATCTAGAGGGCCACCATTCATGAGGGAACAAGGCAGTCTGAGGGCCTCAAGCACTCTATACAAGCTATACTGGAGTTGCTAGATTTGTGGGTAATGCCACGGGTTCTTCGAAAAATTGTTAGCAGTGTTTGTCCTTGAGCAGAAAGAGGCAGCTGAGAATCACAAAGAACTTCCCGACGTGATCCCTTCTAGCTACCTCTCTCCATCTGGGGAACATCATTTTGGGATGCTCTAGATATTTATTATTAACACGTACACCTTTTTAGTGGAGAGTCTAACCCTGAACTCTCAGCAAGCAAACATCCCCACACGGACCTGCACCCCCAGCCCTGTTCTTTTATTTATTTATAGGGCTGCCCGGGCTTCTTGGGGTCTGTGTATGTTAAGGGTCCCCCTGTTCCCACCCTCAGGTTCTTTTTCACCACACTTTGGCACAACTAAAAAAGTAAGGTGTTGAAAAGTTGCTCCCAAGCTATATACACACTATCCTCATGCTTCTCTCTCGGCTTCTTGGAGGAGTTAAAGAGTTTCGTAACTTTTTTTTTTTCCCCATAGTATAGTCAGTTCTCTGTATCCAGAGTTGATCTGGGGGAGTCGTGTTGGAAATTGAGTTTAGGAAAGCATTTTATTACTAAGATCACTAAGCTGTATTCTCAGGCCCCCCGTCATCGTCATCCACCTTTCCTTTTTTCAGACATGTTTTTTTATATACTAGGCTAGCCTTCTATGTAGTTGAGGATGGCCTTGAACATCTAACCTCCCTCTTGAACATTGGGATCATAGGCGTGTGCCACAGTACTGTGTATGCACTATGCAGTACCAGGAGTCAAGTCAAGCCTCTGGCAACTATCATCTGCAGCCTCAGCCACAAGTTTAAACTTTTATGTGTATTTTGCCTGCATGTATGTTTGTGTACCACATGCATGCAGGGCTAACTGAGGTCCAGAAGAGGGCATTGGATCCCCAGGAACCAGAGTTAGAAGACAGTTGTGAGCTGCCACGTGGGTGGTGGGAATTGAACCTGGATCCTCTGGAAGATCAATCAGCCCTTAGCTGATTAGCTGCCACTCCCACCCCTAGCCACAGGTTTTATAGTTGCAGATTCAACCAACTCAGGGTGGGAATATTTGGGGAAAAAAAGGCAGGTATAGCGGTGTGTGCCTGTAATCCCCGCATTTTGCAGGCTGAGGCAGAAAGAACACTGAGTTTGAAGTATCTGTCTCAAACAAAACAAAACAAATCTGAAAGGCCAGGTGTATGCACACATAGTTGTAATCCTGCTTCAGGAAGCAAGGGCAGGAGGCCAGTTGAGGTCCAGGCCAGCCAGGGGTATTAGATAGTGAGACCCTGTCTCAAACCTCAAAACTAAGAACAGTACCGGAGAAGAAGAAGCCTGGCGTGGGAGAGCACATCTGTACCCCAGCCCCCACAGGTAGATCTGGGTCACAGAGACCTTGTCTCAAACAACAGAACCCACCCTGGGGGCTTGGAGCATGCCCCCCTAGTTGTCTGGCAGGTCAGGTGGCTGGATGTGACAGGGGAGCCTCATTGGGACCTCCTTGTGGAGAGGGACCTCCCAGCGCAGCGGGAAGAAGCAGGTCCAGTCACCTCACTAAAGAATATCCATTTATTTATAATTATTGCTAAGTAAACTTCTCTTTTAAACAGGAACATAAGAACACAGTAGAGCTCTGCACAAGTGGACTGGCTAAACAGTTGGTTTGTATACAAGTCAAAATAAGTTAGAGTGGAATTCGGCCAGGGCTTCTGAGCCACCCTTCGGGAGGCTGGGTGGGGTGCGGCCGGAGCCTTGCCAGGACCACCCCCAGCTCCCACTGTGCCTTCCTCTCCGCACTACCCAGGCACAGGGCAGGGTTTTTGTTTTTTTGAGTGTGGTGGTACCCCCTCAGAGGGTTGTGCCAACGGCAGGCTAGGAGACGATGAGAGACCCCACCCCAGCCAGACTCTCCCTTCTGTTTCCAAGACCAAGGCTACTGCGTTGGCAGGAGAGGAGGGAGGAGGAGGTGCAGGCTGCTTTTTTGGTACCAGGGGAGAAAGTCATTGTGGAAAGAGGTAGTTTGCAGGGGTGACGCCTTCTGCTCAGCAGGAAATGAATGTCTTCGTACAGTGACGCCTAATCACTGCCACCTGAGGGTCATTGCGATGGGCACCTGGGAGGCCGGGAGCCTTGAGAAACCACACTTGGGCCGCTGTGTCTTGAGCAGTCGCCCTGAGGCCTAGCTTGGTGTTTCCTTTATGGACGCAGGCTTGGGGGCAGTTGGGCTTCAAATCAGCACCCTCTACCCAAGCTGGTTCCCCCTCTTGGTTTCTCAGCCAAAGCTGGTGGCTTCATCTGTGCCTTTTCAGGGTTAGCCCTGCCTGCTCTTCCCCTTGGAGGCTTGGGGTTTGTGGGCAGGGGTCTGGGTGCTCTGGAGCACCTGAGTGTGCTAGTCACTATGTGGAGGATGGGTTGGGGGAGAGAGCAGACAGGTGAAGCAGCTGGCCTCATGGATGACACACAGCCACTGGCTGGAGAGGGCCAGGAAGGCTCTCCGCCTCCCCTTCTCTCCTGAGGCTCCCTGCTAGTGACACACCTCCTGGGCCAGGGCAGTAGTCCCTTCTGGGCCCAAGTCCCATCAGGCTTGCTTGTGTTAGGTAAGGGAAGCAGGAAGCACACAAGAAAACTTAGGCACAAACAAAAACCACCCACCTCTCCATCAAAGATGATAGACAAGAGAGTTGGAAAGGAAAACAAATCACCTTCAAAATACCCTCACTTGATCAAAGCAGATCCTCCCCCCTCATCTCTGGTCTTCAAGTTTCATTTTAAATATGTTGCTCTTCCTGAACGTCAGCTCGCCCACTCCTCACGCACCTGCTCACTCAAACAACAACAACAATAATAAAGTGAACGTTCTAGTTCCCCTCTTCCCACGGGTGGTCTTCCTTGGCTTCCCCTGGGGACAGCCTCTCTTGGTCCCAGAGATATGTCGCCCTTCCCTACTCCATTACCCTGATTTTGTTTGGTGAGGGTGCTGTGGCTGGTACCTTAGCTTGGGACGAAACTGGATGAGATTTGTTGGAAATGCACATTAGGGACATTCTTTCAAACACAGGGCTAGGGTGCTCTGCAGGCTGGCTGGGAGGGTGCTCTGCAGGCTGGGCTCCCCAGCTCTCCCTCAGGCAGGGCCAGGGCCGCATGCATGCCTGGATGGAGCAAGGGGGTCCCAGGAGGTAGAAGGCAGAGTGCCCTGCCTGGCTCTTGAGTGACAGGGGAAGGGAAGAGGTTCTTGGGTCTGAGCAGGGTGGGGGTGGGCAGTGCCGACCTGTGCAGGAGCACAGATGTTCTTAAAGGCCAGAGTTGGTGCGGAAGAGAGACAAGACCTGGCTCAAGCGTTCTCTTCCAGAAGAGCCTCTCTGGGCCTGAGGTGGCTTGGAAAAGACCTAAGTGTGTGCCCCTGTGCCTGTAAGAGGCCTCACTAGCATTTTCCCTACCCGCCCACAGCAGCAGGCCAAGGAGAACCAGATGTGGACCTCCTGGTTACCTTTTCCCTCACTGGGATGCCTAGGCCTGTGCCCAGCTCCCTGCGAGGACAGTAGTACAGTCTCCATTTGGTCTAAAGGTCCCTAGTGGTGCAAATGACTGAGGGTGGGTGGGGAGGGAGGGCTGGGCAGTGGACAGTAGCTTGGTTCTGGGCTGCAGAGGCGCTGCCCTCAGTATGTGGGTCTCACCCTGTGCCCTCCCCGCCCACTCAGCTGGCCTGCTATAGCACATTGTAGTAGGCCATCTCTTTCATGGCCTGCTCAGTGAGGGTGCTGGCCTCCGCGCTGCTGTCCACACTGCTGTAGGTGTAGGCGTTTTCCTCGAAGTCTTCCATTTCCTGTTGGCTGTCAAGTTCAGAGGGGTCGGGGCCTGCCAGCTCCATCATGGGGTCTACAAGAGAGGGGCACAGTTAGGCCTAAACACTGGCCACCCCCATCGTCCTGCCGGAAGTGGGGGCCTTAAAGTCCAGCCTTTGTTTCCTCAGGCGTTTATGGATCCTACTGCTGGGTATCCAAGAGCCTTGGGCGGAACAGATCCTTGGCTCGGCCTTGACTTCTGGGCTGTGTTTCCTGGCCCCTGCTAAGTCACTAAGCCCTCCTGGGTCCTCCTCTGCAATATCTGTCATTGGTTCCCCCTTGCCATGTGACTCATTTAGTGCCCACTGCATGCCAGGTGCTCCCTAGACCTCCTCTCATCCAGCGTTAGCCCGGAACCTCAGTCTGCAGCTCAATGGGCTGAGCCACTTTCTGAGGTCATCCAACAAGCACTCCTGCGAACTTGCAGAGCTCTACCTCCCCGTCACTGTGGGCGTGGTTCCTCCACATTAGTGCACCAAACCAGCCCCACCCTGCTCCTGGCTTCTTGAAGGACAAACTCAGACAAGGTAGGTTGTCAGAGCATCTGGAGACAGAAGAAAGTCTGAGAGGTGCCTTCTAATTCTGTCCAATGGAAATCTTACTGTAAAGCTTCCTGTTGCTACAAAGCTGGCTACCTCCTGAGGGGAGATGGCTTGGTATGAACCGGGAGGCTGCCTGGGACTGTGGCTCACTGGCTAAATGGGTTTGGCCCCTGTCCAGCAAAGAAAATTGATGTTTAGGGGGAAACAGACCTAGCTCAGGGCTCACCCTGATAGTTGGGACCATAATCCTTTGTGGTGGGGACATCCTGTCCACCTCAGGATATCATAGTATACCGCATTCTTCCCATTTGATGCCAGTAGCATTTTGCCAGTTACAACATCCAAATGTCACCTGGGGGTCAAATTCACCCATCCCCCACCCCTGCCAATAAGTGGCTCAAGGATTGGCACGTAACCTAATTCTGACCACTGGGTCAGAAGGAAATGCCAGCTGGCAAGTTACTGGTTTTAAAGAAGTAAGGAAGACAACTTTTTTTCTTTTTCTGGCCGTGCCAGGAAACCCCGTGTTCTGGTGGTGATCTTGAGTCCAGGAGGAAATGCTAATGCTTTGGGGCCTCACAGGGTTTCTCTATGTATCCCTGACTGTCCTGGAATTTGCTCTGTGGACCAGGCTGGCCTCACAGAGATTCTCCTGCTTCTGCCTCCCAAGTGCTGGGATTAAAAGTGTGCACCACCACCAACTAGCAAGATAGGGTTTTTTTATGTAGCCCTGGCTGGCCTTAAATTGCAAGGGTTGCCTGCCTTTGCCTCCTCAGTGCTGGGATTAAAGACATTTCTCCACGATGTATGGCTTTCTCTTTATTTCAGGTAGCCCAGACTATCCTCAAACTCTATATAGCCAAAGATGACCGTGAGCTTTTGGCCCTCCTGTCTCCACCTCCAGAAAGCGGAGATCACACTGGTGAACTACCACACCCAGTTACTAGGATGCTGGGGTCAGACCTGAGGCCTGTGTGTGCTGAGCAAGTGCGGCCAGCTAAGCTATCCCTAACTCCCTCTGATTGTGGAGTCACTGCACCTAGCAGAAAACCCTCTTAACCCTGAAGACAAGGTTAACTGTCCCGGCAAACCAAGCCCAAGTGTTTCCCCTTTAAGGCGTACTACCATGCCATCACAGTCCACCCCTGGTTATTAAAACAAGCCAAACTCATGTCCCCATTTCATCTCCATTATGTCCACTGGTCCAGGCAAGTAGCCCAGGCTGGCTTTGAACTTAGTATATAGACTGCCTCCCAAGTCACCACCCAGTTCATGCATGCACATTGACTCGCCTCCCTACAATTCAACCAAGCCTGCGAGGTGGTGGTTCTTAGAACAAAGCTGCTCCTCGCAGCTTCATGGAAGATGTATGCTGGGATCCGGCTAATCTAAGCAGTCCTGGAAATGAGGGAAGACACTTCCCTCATTCCAGAGAACCAGGTTGGATGGCTCTAGTTATACGCAAAGGCACAAGGTTGGCTTAGTCTCTGCTGGTGACCAGCTACAAGGCAGTTCCGCCTCGTGAAGCTCTCAGATGAGTGCGCAGGGAACAATCCAGACCCAGCTCAGCACCCTGGGTCCAGACCCAGCCGTCAGCGTTAAAAGCCTTCAAACGTCCTGGAGAGGGGGTTCAGAGCACGGGGTATTCTTCCAGACACCCCAGTTTGACTGCCAGCACCCATGGGTGACTCACGCCTGTCTGAAGCTCCAGTTCTGATAGCCTCTTCTGGCAAGCACGTGGTACACAGACATCCACATAAAATTAAATGTTAAAGGAAAATCCTCGAGTGACTTCCATGGGCAGCCAATTTGAGACCTCATCCTGTAAGGTCTATATCAGAGGCAGTCAAGGGGAGCAATACCTTCACTCCATCCAAGAAACTGCTGGGAGTCCAGCAGGTTGAGCCAATTTGGGGTGGCACATTAGGCAAGGAGAGCCTTTGGTTCCCATCAGCAGGTCTGGGGCCAAGCTAAGCTCCAACTCCTCCAGACAGGGCTACAGAGAGCACCCACACACAGACTATAGGCTTCCTTCTTACCTACCAACGCACCTTGGTAAGACTATTGAAAAGCCACCCTCAGCAAGCCACAATGTGCCCCTCCTCTGTCAGGAAGTCCAGGCCGTTTACTGGCCAGATGTTCCAAAACCAAAGCCACTGGCCATTTGTAGTGGTTAGTCAACTCACTCATCAGCATGGTGAAGGCTTAGGAAGGAGCCACAGGCGCGCCTGCCTCCTGCCCGTACGACCTGAAGCCACCTCCCCACGGTGGAGCTGTGGACCTATGGTTAGCTCTGTTGTGAATGGACACAAGTGGGGGTGTCCCATAACAGCTGAGATGTCTACAATCAAGATGTAGCATCCTCTAGAAAGTCTCTCAAAAGGCCTTGAACTGAAGTCTTCCTGCCTCAGTTTCCTGAGTGCTGGAATTGCAAGTGAGTACTGCCAGAACACCCAGCTCTCCTAGGTCTTGGGTTCTGTTTTAGTTCTTACATTCATTATTTGTTCCATGTTTCCCTCTCAGGAAACTTAATGACAGGACAGCCTGTCCCTGTCTACATATGCGGCTGCATTCTCTCTGCGGGCACCACGACAGGTTGAATGTCAGAATTTCAGTGTGTGCTCGGAGGCGTGACCTCGTATGTCCCCCCTTGTCACTTTCCCATCTGCTTACTCAACATTATCATGGTGTCTCATGACAATGGTGAGAGAGATGGCACATGTGTGGCTCTCGAGGCTTGGGACTGAGTCGCCTCATCTCTGCCCTACGGTTCCTGCTACAGGAACAACACCAGAGCCAGCCTCCCTGTGAGGGTCACATGAGTTACACGGCACTCAACATGTGTGTAAGTTATTGTTTTTATTATCGTTTTCGTGAGCCCATGTAAGTCCTTAGAAGAAGACATAAATACCCCCCTCCCCCGTTATTGCCATGACGGCTCTCCGGGCTCCCCCTCTCTCTAGACCTGCGCCCACCTCATTGAAGTCTCGGCCTTGGCCAGCCTCCCTACACCCCTAATTGGACAGGACCCTCCTGAGTGCGCCATGCTGCTGTCATTCCTGCTCTGCCCACTGCGCACAGCCCACCCACCTTGGCTGTCCAGGCTGATGTCCATGACGCCGTGCTTGACCTTCATGTGCCGGCTCAGGTTCCCCTTGAGGTTGAACTTGCTGGAGCAGTAGGGGCACTTGAACGGCTTGCTGCCCGCGTGCAGGTGCATGTGGCCCAGCAGGTTGTACATGCGGTTGAAGGACTTCCCGCACACCTGGAACGGGGAGGGGACCCGAGGGCTGTGGGGAGCCGGCCGGTCTGCTCCGCTTCCTGATCCCCCCCAACCCGCCACGCATGGCACGCTGTCCCCTTCCTGTGCGACCACACAGCGAGGTCCTTGCATCTCCTGCCTGCTGAGCTGGAGGGGTCCTGACCGGAGCCCTGCAGCGGCCGCAGCACAACCTTCACCCTCTCGGTCCTCCAGAAGCTCCGATTCGGCAGCTTCAAGGCTCCGATGGCCGCCTGCCCCGCCTCCCGTCCCCTCCAAGTCCAGGCGGGCCCCAGGGACCGCACCGCGCCATACCTTGCACTTGAAGGGCTTCACAGGCGAGTGCACGATCATGTGGGTCTTGAGGGTCTGCTTCTGCACGAAGGTCTTGAAGCAGATGTGGCACTGGTAGGGCCGGACGCTGGTGTGGATCAGCATGTGGCGCTTCATGTTGGCCTGCAGGGTGAACTCCCGGCCACACACCTCACACTTGAACTCCTTCACACCCTGTGGGGGTAGAAGCGGCACTCAGGGTTGGGGCACTGACAGGTGCCATCTCTGAGAAATTCATTTTTACAAAAAAAAAAAAAAAAAAAATGTTTTTTTGTCTGTGTGTATGTGTGTGTGTGTCTGCCACGGTACATGTGATCGGAGGGCAGCTTGGCTCTCTCCTCCTACCGTGTGAGTTCTGAGCAGCGAACTCGGGTTATCGCGCTGGCTGGCAAGCGCCTCTACCTGCTGAAATAGCTGACCGTCTGGGGTACGGCTGGGAAGAATGGTAAGGCTGCTGTTCCGGGCTGCCTTCCACCCGATAAGGCAGACACAAACTATATATGCCTTCCCACCCTTGCCTGTCAGGTGGGCATGCAAGCATGTCTGCTACAGCAGCGCACAGAGATAGAAGGGGTCTGTCCGTCCATCTGTCTGTCCATCCAGCAACCAGGCACCTTCCCCTGCCAGCAGTCAGCGCCACGGGCCTGTGACCAGCAGGACAAAGCCTTGGCCTGGTGGCCCGAACAATGTTCATTAACATCAAGGATGGGTGTGTTTGTTTCTGTTCAGTTCCATCTCTTGGAGGACACATCTGTTTGGAAGTATGAGTAAAGCTTCGCTGCTGGAGGGAGCTTATCGGAGGAGAGCCTTTCTAGCATACTGTGTCTGAGCCCCAGCGCTGGAAGATGGAGGCTGAGGCAGGATGAGGCAAGTTAGGGCTACACAGGGAGATGCTGGGTATAACATAACATAAAGTCGGGAGGGCTCGGGAGGAGAAAACAAGAAAAAGCTGTATGTTGCCAGTTGTGGTAGCACAGGCCTGATACTTGGGAGAGGTGGAGGCAGTAAGATGGAAAGGGCAAAGGTAGTCTAGGCTACTGAGCAAATTCAAGGCCAGCACAGACAACTTAGCAATAAAAAAGAGTAGGGTGGGGTTTGGGCTGGAGAGATGACTCGGTGGTTAAGGGCACTGGCTGTTCTTCCAAAGGTCCTGGGTTCTGTTCCAGTCTTCACACACATGGTGGCTCACACCCATGTGTAATTCTAGTCCCAGGAGCTCTGTCACCCTGTCTAGCTTCCATGTATGTGGCATACCCACACACACACACGCAAGCAAACACTTCTACATGTAAAAATAAATAAAAATATAAAAGCTGGGTATGGGGACACAAAAGCAGACACATCTCTGTAAGTTTGAGACCAGCCAAGGGTACAGTGTGAGACTGTCCCAAAATAGAGGGGGCCGGGGAGCTGGGAGTCTATCTCAGCAGTAGCGCACTTCAGCTACCAAAGGTTGAGTCCTAGGTCAGTCACTAACACACACAACAAGAACCTTTGTGCGCGCTGAGGAAAGACGACGGACACTCAGGGCTGCATAAAATTCTGAGCTGCAGCTGGGCTGTGGTGGTGCACACCTTTAATCCACCACTCGGGGGGCGGAAGCAGGCAGAGCTCTGTGGGTTAGAATCCAGCATGGTCTACAGAGACAGTTCTAGGTCAGCCACGGCTACACAGAGAAACCTTATCTTGAAAAAACAACAACAACAGAAACAAAATTCTGAGTTGTAAGACCACAGACACCTTGATGGTGTGCCCCCCCAAATCTCCTGGAGCCGAGAGCCGCCTGTGCCTGTCCAGCGGACAGCCGCAGGCCCCTACCTACAGAGGTGCATTCCATGGGGTCTGGGATGGCCCAGGAGTTTTTAGCTGCAACAGTATTCCCCTATGGTTCTTATCACGGACCCCCAGCCCCAGGAGACACTGGCTCCGGAGCAAACTGTCTGGTCTGGACTGCCACATCTCTCTTTACGGCCCAGAGCTGACACTCGCCCAGCACAGAAATGGGGTGCTGTGTGCACAGGGGATGCTGGGAGAGAAGAAGGGGTCACAGTTGGGTGCTGTTGTACTTCTGGGGAACAGAGAACCCCGCTGGGACAGGGGCATGTCTACGGCACACGGCACAGCTGTTCATCTTAATTAGCTGTCCCAACTAGTTAATATGAAGTTTTTGTATTCTGTGTGTTGTGTGTGGGTGCTGGGGGCCCAAGCTAGGGTGCTCAGGATACTTTAGCAGACCCCCTGTATGTTCTCTTAGCATAAGGCCACATGACCACTAGGGGGCCCCATTTAAGAGTTGGGAGCACAGATGTGCATGGGGTACAAATGAAGACACTGACACAAATACTTGCAGCGACCTCAGCGTACCCTTTATGGCTCAGCATTTTAGTATGGTGGGGGCTCTGAAGCCTCTGAGTAGAGGAGAAAGACGGCAAAATACACAGCCACACATCACCGTTCATTCCCGCCCTTGCAGACATTAATAATCAATTACACGGTTTTACCGATGAGCTGAGGGTCAGCATCAGAACCCTTCTTGATGTCATACACTGAGCAGCCTGACGGGTCAGGCCCGACGGGACAAGCGTCTGCAGGGGAACCTGCCAGGGGTCCCTGCTCTCTCGTTCAAGTTGTCGGGGCTGGAGAAGTTCGGGCTTCTGGCCTGGCAGGCTCACTGTAGTGTCTTCTGTGACACTACAGGTCACAAGTATATGTGTTGTTGATGAGTGCTGCTGAGAGCGGAGGTCACGGGAGGGGATTGGGTCCCCCCCACCCCCGGAACTGGAGTCCAGGAAGCTGTGAGCTGCTGGATGCGGAGGCTGAGAACCAGACTGGGGCCTCTGTAAGAGCAGCCGGCGCTCTCAACTTCTGAGCGGCCTCTCCAGCCCCCTTTCCTCTTTTCGTGAAAATGCCCACATGGGCACTTGTACGTGTGGAGGCCAAGTCAGCATCAGGTGTTTATCCCCAGGAGCTGTCTAAGTTTTTGTTTGTCTGTTTTGCTTGAGACAGAGTCTCCCATAGGGACCTGGAGCTCGCCCATTAGGCTGGTTCGTCACAGACCTCCCAGGATCTGCCCACTTTCCCAGAACTGAGATGAAAAGCACGTGCCAGCTTCTTACACAGTGGCAGGGGACTGGCCATGACTGCACCAGGGGCATGCACGGCCCCATCTTCTACATTTATCTGTTTGTGTGTGTGTGTGTGTGTGTGTGTGTGTGTGTGTGTGTGTGTCAATCCGCAACTAACAGGAGCTGGCTCCCTCCTTTAACCACGTGGGTGCCGAGGATCAGACTCAAGTTTCTCAGGCTTGGCAGCAAGCGCCTCTGCCTGCTGAGTCATCTGGCCGGCCTTCCCCGGCCCCATCTATCCCTCTTTTCTAATCGTATATATAGCTTTGACTTTTCCTAAAGGGAAGCCAAAGGCTTTGCTACACTTGTGATCCTCTGCATTTCTGGCCATAGCAGCCACCTCCCTGTAGCATCCCAACTCTCCCAGGCCGCATATACAGGAAACACGGAGGGACCCTTTAGTGGCAAGGGAGTTCCACAAACATTTCACACAAAAATCTTTAAAATTCCTCTGGTGTGTGTGTGTGTGTGTTTGGTATGTGTAAGTGCCTGTGTTTGTGTAGGTGCGTGCGTGCGTGCGGGTGTATGTGAGCCTGCCCGGGAACACGCACAGGTGGAGGCTAGAGGCTGATGTAGGAAGTTTTCCTCAACTGCCCCTCACTCAACTCGGTGTTTTGGCTATGCCATCTGGCTAGTGAGCCAACAGGACCCCCCTGTGTCCTCCCTCCACTAGTGGGGTGAGGCACACCCACACACCCAGCTCTTTTAAAAAAAAAATATATATATTTTTTAATTTAAATTTATTTTAAGTGCATTAGGGTGAAGATGTCAGATCCCCTGGAGTTTGTGTTACAGACAGTTGGGAGGTGCCATATGGGTGCTGGGAATTGAACCTGGGTCCTTTGGAAGAGCAGACAGTGTTCTTAACCACTGAGCCATCTTTCTAACTCCCCCACCCACCCAGCTTTTACAGTTGTGCCGAGAACCTGAACCCTGAGCCATCTCCCCACGTCTCAAAAACACTTTAAAGCCCAGTCTTTAAAAAACCCAAAACTAATTTAATTTATGTTTCTCATACTCTACTAAGATACATTTCTGAGTATGAAAGTAAGGAGTCAGGGCTGGAGAGACGCCTTGGGGGCTAAGAGCACTGACTGCTCTCCCAGGGGACCCAGGTTTGATTCCTAGCACTCACATGGAGGCTCATGACCACCTGTAACTCTGATTGGGGGGAGGGCCTGACCTCCGTGGGCATCGGGCATACGCTGGGGTGTGGAGTCACACGTGCAGGCAAACGCTCGCACACGTAAACCCAAAGTGCACCTTCAAAAAGAGCTTCACCTGGGCTGACCTAGATAGGCCCCTCCAGGGCTCTGGAGCAGTGCTGAGGAGAGAGAGCGACAGGACAGCCGAGGCCGGGGTGGGGGTGGGGGTGGGGGTGGGGGCCTTACCTTGTGGGTGAGGGAGTGCTGCTTGAGGTGGTGGATCTGGCTGAACTCCATGCCGCATTCGGTGCAGACGAAGGGCCGCACGTTCTGGTGCTTGAGCATGTGGTTCTGCAGCTGGCTGCGGTAGTGGAAGGACTTGTCACACTCGAGGCACTGGTAGAGGGTGGGGCCCTGGTGGGAGGCCAGGTGGCGCTTGAGCTGGGTCAGGGTGGAGAAGTCTAGGCCGCACTCGACGCAGACGTGGCAGCGGCCGCTCTCGTGCTTCACCTCGTGGGCCTTCAGCTCGCTGGGGTAGGCGAAGCCGCGGCCGCAGAAGTGACAGCTGTAGGGTTTGACCTCCGAGTGCAGCAGCATGTGGCGTTTGAGGTGGCTGGTCTGCGTGAAGGCCTTGTGGCAGACCTGGCACTTGTGGGGCCGCGTGCCCTGGTGCGTGAGCAGGTGCGTCTGCAGGTGGCTGGGCTGCTTGAAGAGCTTGCTGCAGTGCGGGCAGGAGTGGGGCTTGATGCCGTTGTGGCCCAGGATGTGCGTCACCAGGTTGTACTTGGACGTGTAGGACTTCTCGCACATGCGACACTGCCAGCGCTTCTGGCGGTCGCCCGCCTCCACCAGGTAGGAGTCGTCGATCTGCACGTTGATGTCCAGCCGGTCCAGCTGGGCCTTCTTGTGGCGCTCCACTGTGGAACCTGCCGCGTCGGCCTCGAACTCGCTGGACTCCTGCCACACGAAGCCCTGTTCCGGTTTGACGAGTTCTGGCGATGTCATGCTGGGAGGCTCGGGGTTGCCCAGGGGTGCCAGGTGGGGCGGCTCGAAACCACATTCAGTGGGCAAAGTTTCTGGTCCAGGTAGTGCCATGCTGGGCTCGGGGAAGCCGTCCCGGGCTGGGTCCGGGAACGGAGGATCGAACGGGACCATGTCCAGCTCTGGCCTTGGAGTTCGAGGAAGGTGCCGGAGCGTCCGGGGTTTGCGGCTGAAGGCGCTGAGGTCGATCATCTTGACGGCGCTGCTCTGCACCAGGGCCTCGCAGCCGCCGCTGGCCACCTCCTCGGCAGGGCCCTCTGCAGGGCCTGGGTCCTTGTCGTCGCCAGGTACAGACACCTCGTACACCTCCTGCTCCTCTTCCTCTTCCGCCTTCTCAAACTTGACCTTGGGCACCAGCCGTACCGGGGGCCGCGTCTTCCTCCGGGTGTGCTTCTCAAAGGCCGCCTCTACCTCCAGCACTTCCTCTTCCGGTGGCTCCTCCAGGGCCCGCCCATTACAGGCCAGCTGATAGATGTCGGGGCCTGCCGGTCCCGGCTCCCCCATGGCTGTCCCAGACAGTTCTGGCCCTAGGTCTGGGTAGAAGGCCTCAGCACTTATGGTGGCTCCGAAGAGCTCATTTTCTGAGACCAGGCCCAGCACGGCAGCCTGGGCCAAGGACAGCACCACCACAGCGTCCGTCTGTGTCCCTGAGTCCATGAAACCTTCCATCCCGTGGCGTCTGGCTACGAGGGCATTTCTGTGGGAGAAAAGGGCAGGTTAATACTTCTAGTTCCCATGCCAAGTGGGCAGCAGACTCAGGGAGGACAAGGGTCCGGCTAACTTGGGGGGGGGGTGTGGCCTCCTGCCTTGAGAACGTGATATGCCTGTGATTATGGGGAGCAGTGTATGCAGGCACCTTCACATCTCTGAGAGGCCCTGGGTAAGCCCCACCCCCTGCTTGCCTAAGTCTTTCCGTGTGTAAAACAGGGGGCGTGTGGTTTCGGTACATGTGCTCATGGTCATCTGGCGAAAGGTCAGCGTTGTCAAGCTGTGGGTTGCTTTTTTTTTTTTTTAAGATATGGTCTCTAATCCAACCTGTAGCTCACCCACGGACTGGTCTAGCTGGTCAGCTACCCTGAGGGATTCTCCCAACTCTGCCTTCCAGCTCTGGGGATACAGGCTTGTGCCGCCATTAACGGGGTGCTGGGGATCAAACCCAGGTCCTCAGGTTTGTGCGGCAAGCACTTTAGCCGCAGAGCCACCTCCTAATCCGGGTTCAGTGGTTCTTAAGTCGGGTCTGATGGCGCCCTCGGAATTCTGTTTCAAAATGCATAAACATGTCTCGGCCTTTTTTTTTTTTTTTTTTTTTTTAAAGACAGGATGTAGCCTCACTATGTAGCTGAGGAATTTGCTATCTTACAGCCCTAGCCTCCTGAATGCTGAAATTGCAGACATGTGCCTCCAAGCCTGGTGATTTATGAACGAAACTGAATGCCTTTTTATTTTCGTTTTTGCAGAGCTGGGGACTGGACCCAGGGCTCTGAGCTAGGCGAGCACTCATCCTCTGAGCCCCAGCCCTTCTGTTTTAAAATTTAATCACTCCATTATTTTAAGAACTGATTAAAAAAAAAATACCCACCTACTCAAAATACAATGTGCCACACTTCTAAAACACGCCACGAGTCCCACTGGCTGTGCTGCCGGAGTAATTAATTTTGCACAGACCCTGGGAATGTACTGTGAGGTGTTGAACAATTGTTGCCATTAGTGATTGCATGGCTGCATGAATGAGGATTAAAAATAAAACATATACAGGGTAAAACAATACAAAAATAAATTACGTTCTGAGGCTGGTTTCAAACTCGGGTTAGCATCGGTCAGCCTGATGCTGTCTATCATACAAGCCATTGTTTTCCTTAATTAACTAAATGCCATATCTATATATACCCAAATATACTGATAAAAACATAGCTTTAGCTGACCCTGGAGTTGCACAGGAGATCTTATGGCTAAGGCTGGTGAGACCACTGATTTGACTGTTAAAACTGGACCCCAGGTTCATGGTCATTGTTTTCTGACCTAACAGGTTCTTGTAGACAATACCGCTGTACCCCATTCCAGCTGTACAACCGTCGAAGGCACCCTCCTTCCCCCTGGCTCCCCAAGCACCTCAAACCCCACTTTTGCAAAGTGGTTCCTGCTTGGCTGCCCCTTTCCCGGCGCTGCTTGGGTGTTCTGCCACCAGCCTCTCCCGCCTGCTCTCATGCCCATGCCAGCTTCCCCAGGGCTGTGGCGCACCAAAGGCATAGCCCCGCACCCTGCCCCTGCTCTGTTCCTGACACACTCCAGAAGAGTGGCACTAGAGGGTGGTTCCCACACGCTGTGCTCCCAGGGCTTGGGTCAGGCACATGGCCAGGACAGTCCTTCCTCAGGAAATCAGTCCGGGCCTGGCACTGCCCTCCCCTCCCCCTAGCAGAACTCAGTGGAGCTTCCTCTTCCTGAGGAGGCTGGCTAAAAATACCCCAGACAGGAATCCGGCCTCCTTGCAACAGACACAGAAGATTAAACTATTAAGCTCAGAGCAGGGCTCTGGTGGGAGGGGTCAGATAGGAGTCATGCCAGGGGCTTCAGGGTCCATCTGCAGCCATGCAGGGGGCTAAACTCACTTCTGGATACCCTACGCCATGCCCAGCTGCACTTAAGTAGGGATTTCCACTTCAGTCACTTGTAATTGATTACAAAAAGGTCACTTCCATGCCGCAGCTTCTGCATCTAAGAACTGGGAATGAGGGCACACAAGAAAGGTACGGGATTCCAAAGAAGCATGATGCAGGACCAGGATCTTAGTTAATTACAGAATCCCAAGTAAGAGTAAAGATCGATAGCTTAACCATCCTAGATCTCCAGAAAGGCAGTCACAGGGCTGAAAAAAAACTTTTCTTCCTTGTCCCAAACTCAGCAAAGCTTTGGTGATTGTAAGGACAACCGTTGAGCACTAAGAAAATAGTTCCTGAAAATAGTATTGCTAAATCCCAGCCTAGTCACAGGCCTGGTGCTTAGAGAAGGTGAACCAGATAGGGCTCTGTCCCCAGGGAGCCTACAGAGGAGACCCTCTGGGTCCGTCACAACTTTGTCCAGTGCCCACTGGTCACTGCTAGCTTTCCTGAACACTCTGGGAAATGCCACTGCCATACCTGCCTGTCCCAGACACAGCACCAGGCAGCAGTCGGAGTGCGTGCAGTGGCTTTGAGCAAACAATACACTCAGCGAATTTTTCTAGCCCTGTCCCAAGGCAGAACCCATGGGGGATTCATGGAGGATTCATGGCAGAGCCTGTGCTTGGAACTTGGCACTGGAAGCTAGGTATAAAAGCACACGCCTGAAATCCCATCACTTGGAAGGTAGCCTAGGTTCAGGAGTTCAAAGCCATTCTCAGCTACATACTGAGTTTTAAGCAGAAAAAAAAAACAAAACCACAAAAGAGTAACAACAACAAAAGAGAACTTGGTTTGAGTGCTGTTGAGGCCGTCACTAGGTCTGTCATGTCCTAGTGTAGCCCAAAGCTGCTTCTTCATCGCCTGCCTACGGAGGGCTTCTGACTTGAAACAGACACAAGATGAGATGGTGTGGCTTTCCTCAGAAGCCCAGGTGTCCTGCCCCCACCCCCACCAACCTGCACCAACTGATGCAGAGAGCCCACTTTACATTCGGATAAGAGCATGACCACTGACCACTTCGCTAGCCCGGCTTGAGGGGAGAGAGAAATCATGCAAGTAACCTTTCACACTGGGGTCCCCTCCAACAAAGAGACACTCACTGTCACACACTCGGGATAAAAACAAGCCCATCCCAGGCCATCTGGGCCTGCCCTTCCTCCAGGAACAGGTGGCCGTCAAAGGGATTTCCCCAAGAGTCAGTGCTCTTGGAAGGCTAAGGGTGGGGCCTTAAGAATTGTCACTCCTGAGCCACAGACATGGCAGCAGCTCTCCAGCTCATTACTGAGGGCTCCAGGCCCTATTTAAGCCGGCAGCAGCCTCACCCCACAGCACAGGGAATGGTGCCTAAACTACAGTGACAATTCTTTTGTGTGTGTGTTTTTTCGAGACAGGGTTCCTCCGTGTAGCCTTGGCTGTCCTGGACTCAATTTGTATACTCACAGAGATCCACCTGCCTCTGCCTTCCTGAGTGCTGGGATTACAGGAGTTCTTAATGAGCAGGCTGCAGCTGTAGCTGAGTCTCACCAAGCCATCTCTAGCACCCAGGAGAACTCCAAATCCAAGACTCCTGAGTCTGAGTGAAGGAGCTGCTCAGGGCCGCCTAGGGCCAGCAGAAGCCTACAACCTGGTGACAAGGGCTGGACTTTATGGTCTCTTGGGGTAGCCATATAGGCTGTGTATGCATGAGTGTGTATTATGTCTGCCCAAGTGTGTGTGATGGGTGCGGAGAAGGGGCTCTGTTGAGGCAGTGGTAGAGAGACTAAGTGAGGCAGATTCTAAGTGACTTGCTGCTCTGTCTGACATGCAGAGATAAGTGGAGGGGAGGTGGCCTCCAGTCCAGCATCTCTTTCATCCTCTTAGACCAGTCTTTTGGTTTAGTTGTCCCCAAGGCCGCTGGTTCCTTCTCAAGCTACAGCCTCTTTGATGCCCTGGCCCAGACTACTCAAGGCAGAGGGACCCACAGGGGACCCCACCACTTGCAGCACGGGGATGCTGTAGGCTCCCAGGGGCCGACCTCCCCCCCCCCCCCCCCATGGCACCTTCCTTCCCTAGGCAAGGCCTTTCTTTATCACTTGTGCTGGGGATTCAACCAAAGCTGATGGTGTCCAAGTGAAAAGGGTTTGGAGGGCCCTGTGTTCTTCCAAATTGCATGGCTTATGACGGGGTGGGGAGGTTGGGGTGGCTATCCATTAGTGCACCTCTACGAAACTCCTCCCACTCCTCAGCCCGCCTCTCCTCCTCCCCAGAGAAAGTAAATGCTAGAGGGTTAAAGAGTAGCTGCCAGAGTGTGGTAATGCAGCTAAGGGAAAGAAGAAAAGGGAAGGGAAGGGAGGAAGGAGGAGGGGAAGAAGAGGAGTGAGATGGGGGGGAGAGAAACAGAGGCCTCGGAGGACAAGAGACAAAGGCAGGGAGGGGGAGGGGACCCAGAGAGGCACAGAAGCCCGCGGCTGCCCTATTTCCCAGGGCTCAGCATCACCTCTGGGCCAGAGGGTCAGGCCTGATCCTGGGGAGGGAGTAAACTCTCCCCTTTGAGACCCAGCAGCAGCCTCCCCTACCCCAGAAAGGGCCCCAGGCTTCTCACTGTTACTCCAAAAGTGCTTTGTCTCTGTTCTCTGGCTCCCGTGAAGACTGATAAAAGCTCAGGGACCAAGTGACACCTTCGGGTCTCAGTGTCCCTATCTACAAAACAGACAAGGGCCTACTTGGAATCCCAGGGTTATGAAAATCTACAACCCCTATCCTATCTGACTGCCACACAGGGACCCCTCATTACAGAGCCCTCTCTTACCACACAGCGCTCTAGCAGCTCCTATCCTCCACGGAGACCCCCCTCATACCCCTGCTTAAGGGTAAGGAGGCTTGGCCGGGTGGTGGTGGCGCATGCCTTTAATCCCAGCGCTCTGATTTTGAGGGCAACCTGGTCACACAGTGAGTTACAAAACAAAATAAAACAAAAAAAAGCCAACCAAAGTCAGGAGTGTCCCACAGACTGCCCAAGCCAGCTGCAACTGACCAAATCTGGTGATTACTTCCTGAGGGG